GAGAGTGGGTGCAGGGATTCTGTGCCTCAGGCTGGGTTCAGATCTAGTCATTGCTATTGAAAGCCTGCTCAAATTCTCCTGAGAAGTTTTGCAGGGTTTTGAGAACTGTTCTGTATACATGTTCCAGAGTCTTGCAATTAACAGGTCATGCAAGTCTAGTTCCCCAGCCAGCTTTGCCATGCCCTAATCTCCTAACTTAAGAGGATCACCTCTTAAGCCCAGACAGCCTGGGCTTAGTGAGTTCAAGGACAGCCTGAACTACATAGTGAGACTCTTGTCTCAAAAACAAAAAATACAAAAAAAAAAAAAATTCTAACAGTAAAAAAAAAAAAGCAAGGGGTGGTGAAATCCATATTTCATATACAATTTAAAGATTTAGAAAAATGGCAGAATAATTTGTTCTCATCTTATCGGTTAGGTTTCATTTTACTGACAACTTCATTTGGCATTATGGACCACAAAGAAGCAAACCAAAAACACACAGAAGAGAAAATGCTGGGATTCTTTTTCTAGAGATATAATGTATGTGTACAAATAAAATATCTCAATAGAAAAGATATATAAGAAAGAATATCTTAAATAAAATATTCACAAATGACAAAAGCTACAAGTAACATCTGGTTTTAGATTTTTATTATGGAAAATTTCAAACATGTACAAAAAGAAATAGACTGGTATAATGAACACTTGTGTATTTGTTATGGTTTGGGTTTGAAATGGCCCCCAAAACCCTTGATTGCCAGTTGATGATGAGCTTTTAGAAAGCAATTAAATCATCAAGTGAATTAATCTATTGATGAGATCATAATTTGAGGGCATTACTGGAAAGTGATGGAAAAGTGATGTGAGGCCTATTTGAAGGGAATGGGCCACAGAGGGGGTAACTTTGAGGACTATATTTTGTCCCCAGATCCTTTTTCTCTGGCTGTTTCTCTCACTCTCTGGCTTTCTGGCCTCAATGAGGTAAGAAGCTTTCCTTCACCAGGCCCACTCACCATGATGTTTCTGGTTTGCTGCAGCCATAAAGCAATGGAGCCAGGTGATCGTGAACGGAAACCTCTGAAACAGTGAGCCAAAACAAATCTGTCCTCCTTTAAATTATTTATGTCAGGTATTTTGTCTGAGTGATGGAACACTAACGCAATATTTTAAGTTTCAGCAATTAACATGTTTCAATCTTATTTTGTCACTATCCCACCCACTTCTCCCTGACCCTAGATTGTTTAGAAGCAAATCCCAGACATCACATCTTTTTATATGCAGATATTTCGAGATGTATCTCTAAAAGATAAGCACCTTTAAAAAAGAATAGCATTTACCAGACTCGTTTAGCAATAATTCCTTACAAATCATCAAGTATGCTGTAAGTATTTATCAGCATTCAGATTTCCTCGACTATTTAATACTTTTTGTGGTTTTTCAACTCAGGACCCAATAGTCCATACTCTGCAATTGTTTGATGTTTCTTAAATCCTTCTCAGTCTGTGGGTTACCTCTCCATATTTTTTTCATTTATCCGTTGAACAATCCAAGTCATGTGTCCTGTATTCTCATAATCAAAACCTGATCCTCTGAAGTATATTTGATGTTCTTCTAGGGTCGAGTTGATCAAATTCAGAAGGAAGTACCTTTTTCTTTTGTTTTGTTTTTGCAAAGTTACTCCCTTTCTTTCTTCCTTTTTTAGGCAAAGTCTCACTCTGTAATTCAAACTTGCTTTGAACTTACTCAGGTGGACCTCAAACTCACAGCAGTTCTCTTGCTTGGGTCTCCCAAATGCTGGGATTGCAGGCATAGGCCACTGTGCCCAGTTTTGCAAGGCTACTTAATCTTATGCAAGGTGGAGTTGTATACTCCACTTAAAAACTCTATTCCTCTTTTTGCAATGGATTATCGCCATTTTTTTCCTCATTAAACAATATTTATTAAATGTCTTTATGTTTAATTAGCTTAACAAACTATTTGAGAAATATAGTATATATTCAGTTGATATAATTACAAAAACAATGTTTTAATTATTATTATAGCCAAGTGACATATAAACATATAAAAGCAAGACTTCCTTAAAATACATATATACATATATGTATATATATATTTTCCTTGAAATATATATATACATATATGTGTATATATATATTTTTTCTTTAAGACAAAGTCTCACTATGCAAGTCAGACTGGTCTTGAACTCACTATGCACCTCTTGCCCCAAACTTGTCAGGCAGGTGCTTATGCCCCTGAGATAAATCCCCAGTCCCTTAAATATATTAATTCTTTAGAAATTACACACCATTAGTTAGTATTCTGTTACTTCTTCATTTATTTATTGAGTCACTAATATAAAAAGAAAATTTCCTATCATCACAAAGTACAGTTCCTATATACATTCTTTCCAATTACTAGCAGTTTTCAAAAATGAATTAATCCAGTATACTAATTAATAATAAATTAATCCAGTATCTTTCCAACAGTATCTCTTTCCAACAAACATCAGTGAGCTTTTAAATATTATTGTGAATTCATGGATTTAAACATTGATGCATTTTAATCTACTATACATACTATTCATTTTGATAATTAAATTGGCTCAAATTTGACTACTGGTAACTACTATATTCTAGTGGCCTCTGGAGTCCTTTTGATATAATCTTAATAGTTTCTAAAAATTTTCTTATTTAACTTGGACAATGGCTGTCCCAAATCTGGAGTCACTTGTGTTTTCAAGAAGGCCTGCTTTCTTTGGATAAAAAAAGAATATTTAGGTAACACAGCTCAGACAGTAAAAGTGTTCGGTGCTATGGGGTCACTGTTCCCAGACCTTTGCAAGATAAACCTACGATATTTTTTAAAATAAAATGATTCATGAATTCAGTTATTCTTGGAATTTAAATTTAGAATTATAGTTTTTTTATTTAACTTCAACATAATCATTATCTCTGTATTCTACACTAAAAATTCAGTTTATCAATAACACAGATATTATTACTCATTTGTTTTGTTGTTATAGTTTGTTTGTTTTTGAAAATAGGATCTCACTATGTAGTCCAGGCTGGCCTCAGACTCACTGTGATCCTCCTACCTCCCTGCTGAATGCTGGCATTACAGGTGTGCATCACCACATCCTAGTTCTAGAATAATAACAACACACACACACACACACACACAAAGTAATCCTAACTGTACCACCAATATGAATACTTTAATGCACTTATTTTTATTATTTGAATATTTTCCATTTTGTATGTTACAGTGAAGTTATTGTGTGTTAAAATCACTTGAATAGATTAGTTGGGCATTTGAATTTTTGAAATAAAACTGTGATATGGTCTCATGCAAATGAGAGAAAAACTAAATTTGTCATAAAACTACACATACATGTGCTGGGCATGGTGGTACATACCTATTGTCTACTTATCTGTTTAACAATCCAAGTCATCTCTCCTGTACTCTCATAATCAAAACCTGAGCCTCTGAAGTATATTTGATGTACCTCTAGCCTAGAAGTTGATCAGATTCGGAAGGAAGTGCCTTTTTCTTTTGTTTTGCCAGTTACTTGAGATGCTGAAATAGGAGGATTGAAATTTCAAGGTCAGGCTGCACATTTTAAAGACTTTGTCTCAAACAAATCAAAAGGCCTGGAGATGTATCACAATGTTCCCTGGGTTCAGTCTCCAACACTAAAAAAAACTACAGCCTGATATGGTATCGCATAAATTCAACATTGTGGGAGGCTGAGGCAGGAGGATCATAATTTAGTCTCAAAAAATAAAAATATAAAAAAGAACTTTGCACCTAGCTCAGTGCAAAGACCCTGGATACAATTTCCAGCGGAAGTGGGGTTGGGGGTGGATGTATGTCTGAGAAAAGTGTTGTGTGGGTCTACATATTTGGAATTAAATGTAGAACTTATTGGTATAGATGCCTTAGTGACACTATTTTTAGTATCCTTGTGTTACTTTCTCTTGGCAAGTGCTACAAGATGGTGATCCCAGATAAGCCTGTGGTTGTGGTTGCATAAAACATTAAATGGCTAAATTTCCTACTTAAAATATCTTTTTTTTTTCTTTTTGACACAGGGTCTCACTGTGTAGTTTAGGAGGGTCTTGGGCTCACTATGTAGCTGAGGCTGTCCTCAAACTTGTGGCAAGTCATCTGCCCCAGCTTCCCAAGTGCTGGGATTACAGATGTGCACCACCAGGCCCTGCTACAGTATTTTAAAAATACACAAGTTCATGCTATTCTACAAAAGCATGTTTCTGAATATTTTTAAGTTCCTCTCTCCAATTGCCCTCCCCTATGGATCAATAAGCTTCAAAAAATGTTTTATCTTCATTCCTTCTTTACATTCTGGCTTTTGATGGTCTTCTCCAAGCAACTCTGAGCTCACATGCTTTGTGTAATGATAAAGGAGAGAGAGGAAAAATTGCTGTACAAACTAAGGTAATGAAAACGGAGCAGGCAGGAGTATAGACAGCTGCAAGAATCCGAACTAGAGAGACTGAACAATCCTTCATCCTAAACAACTCAGAGGTCAGATTTCTTTTTAGGACAGGTGGCTTTTTTAGTTTGTGAAATACTCTGCAAAGATGGGGGAGGAGCTGAGAATTACCTCTGCTGTGGATTTTTACAGTCAGCTTCATCCTAGACACAAGACATAGACACTACAAGTACTGTTCAATATAGCAGTGGTGAGTGAAAGGTATGCATTTGGCCACTGTGATTTTTAAAGGCCAGGAGCTCATGATGGGGAATACTGGAGGGATTCTGCAGAAGGCCGTGACTACAAAGACCTATCAGCTAGAATTGGATATCTGACTTGCCTGTCTCCTTCAAATGCACTTGGCGTTCAATACTCCATATTCTGTTCAATCTTCCTACCCTCCCCACTGCCTCCACTCCCACACTCTATTGCCATCAATGTTCCTGGAATTTTGGACTTAGCTATTTTTAAAACCGTCAACTCAGTAGCCACCTCCCTCCCCCGCTCAGCTGTCCGGTCCTCTGGCAAGCCATGTCCTTCCCCTTCCCCCAAACACCAAACCTTCTCCGGCTCCCTGACCTCAGGAGATTGCAGCCGGTCTTTGGGTTTCAAAGCTGGGAGAAACGAGAAGAAAGAGCCAGGGAGCCCCTGGCTCCAACAAGCCAGCAGAATAGGCAACCATGGCTGGAGAATTGGATATCAGAGTAATGTCTGACCACTGGAAACAGTAAGTCAAAATGAGATTGCAATTGCTTTGAAACGCTTTTGGATTGAGGTGTGACTTTTACAAAATTGCAGACACCTACTTGAAAGTCTGTAGTCCAAAACCTAGGATGTCCCTTGACCAATGTACCCTAATCCCCATTTCCCCTCCATCACATTTCTTCCTGGTCTCTGACTTCAGGCCTGTTGAAGTTTAATGTTCTGTCTCTCCTGTAGCAGTCTTAGTTAACTATACCTCAAGATTTTTGGTTTTGGTTTGGTTTTGGCAGTAGTGCTAGGGATCCAACCCAAGGCCTTGGGTAAATCAAGGGCCTTATGCATCCTATGCATACACTTTTCCACTAAGCTTTCCCAAAACCCCCATTTCAAAGATTGTAGCAAAGTTTTAGGGGGAGACCCCCATGCCTTCTACTCTGTAGTTTTCTCATCAAGGCCAAATTGAACATTCTTCCATCCCACCCCTAACTTAGCAGGACTCCTCATAGTGGACTTCCAAGAGGACTCCTCATTGTGTATGATTTTCCCGTAACTCATTCCCTGTGTCCTGCTCTCCCTTCTGCAGGACCCTTCCCCTAATTTGGCAGGAGAGAGGTAAAGAGTTAACCTCTTTCCAACCAGCACCCTCAAAAGACATCTGAATTTGCAAAGGAGAGAATAACTGAAAGAGTGGTTTTTCAGTTAGGTTTGGAAAAATACAAGAATTATTAACTTAGAAAAAAGCAAGTATCAAATCACATGCTTTGTTTGCAGCAATTATTTTATGTGTAGAAAGATTACAACTGCAGGCCTCTAGAGCAGATGGAACAGACTGGCTTCCTTTTCATTTGAAGACCAATGTTCTGGAAGAGATAAACATTTCATCTCTACTCTATTTGTGTTCTTCTGACACAAAGGAGAAAAAGAAATGAATGATTTCTAGAGGGTGTCTCCTGTGATGGGAGGGACAGAAAGAAATATGTTTCTGAAGTATTTCTATATCCTAATTCTGTTGAGGAATCCACTGAGATCTAATCTATCCCCATGATTCCTCCAAACATCTATTTGGTAGCCCAGGATGGGGTAATACAGTGAACTCTGCCCCCCCAAGTTCACTCAACCTTCCCTCCACCCCCACCTAGAGGTATTGCACAACGGACTGGAGAGTGACCACAGAAGCAGGGGACAGAGGCTCACCAGCTACACTTATGGTTTGGGGAGCCTCATTCTCCCCAATCTCCAGTCTGCTTACCCTTTTCTTGATTCTCTTCACACTATCCTGACCAATCTTCAACTCTTCTCTTTCTTCATGCCCAGCCAAATTTCTTTTTTCAGTCACTCCCAAGACTGCCGATCAAAATTCACTAGGTAGGAAAGTCATCAGCTGGGAAGAACTGGCGCCTGGGGGGACCTGGCTGGATAGGCATGGGGGATTCAAGTCGGTCCCCTGGTTCCTGGTCCCCCCATGGCAGTCTCCCACTTCTAAGCACTCTCACTCTCCTGCTGCTCCTCTGTGGACATGGTAAGGAAGGGTTGGTCAGGGAAGGGGTTGGGGAAGCCTAGAGGGCAGTGTTGGGGTGGGATATGACCGCATGTGAGCTAAAAGATGCGGGTGTAAGTCCTTGTATTCGGTTGCCTCCCTCTAAAATAGGGAAACTTTCCATTCAGCTTGGGGGAGGCACTGGGGAAGGCCTTTGGTCGATGGGGAGAAAAATCGGGGGATGATTCATCTTCAGTAAGACTGAACAAGGAGAGAACCAGGGAGTTGGGGCTTGGGGCTGGGTTCGGCCTTAGCTGGTCAATGGGAACAGCAGGCACCGTCTGTTAAGATTCGGGAGGGTTTAGGAACACAGCCCTGGAGCGAGGGCTGGGGACGGCCTCACCATCCTCGTCCTTCCGTCCTCAGCTCATTCTCAGTGCAAGATCCTGCGCTGCAACGCCGAGTACGTGTCGTCCACCCTGAGCCTCCGAGGTGGGGGTTCGCCGGGGGCCCTTGGAAGAGGAGGCGCCGGCCGGGGCGGCGGGCTGGGCTCGGGCGGCCTCTGTCGGGCCCTGCGCTCCTACGCGCTCTGCACGCGGCGCACCGCCCGCACCTGCCGCGGGGACCTGGCCTTCCACTCGGCGGTGCACGGCATCGAGGACCTGATGATCCAGCACAACTGCTCCCGCCAGGGCCCCACGGCCCCGCCCCCGCCCCGGGGCCCCGCCCTCCCGGGCGCCGGCCCGGGCCCCCCCAGCCCTGACCCCTGTGATTACGAAGCCCACTTTTCCCGGCTGCACGGACGTTCCCCGGGCTTCTTGCACTGCGCCTCCTTCGGGGACCCCCATGTGCGCAGCTTCTACCACCATTTTCACACGTGCCGCGTCCAAGGAGCTTGGCCCCTGCTGGATAACGATTTCCTTTTTGTCCAGGCCACCAGCTCCCCAGTGGCATCGGGGGCCAACGCTACCACCACACGGAAGGTCAGAGATTCAGTTTTCTTCCTACCTCACCAATGAGATCTTCTCTGGGTCACACTGGGTACCACTTCCTTCCCATCCCTGATATTTCTCTATGATCCCCCTTTCTTTTCTTCCTGAACCACTCTTGCATCCAGAATCATCACTTCCTCCTGACAAACACTGTAAATCAGTTTCCCTGGATGTGACTTTCACTCTAATGCTGAAAACACTTAAGAAAAAGCTGGAAATAGGAAAGTTAGTGCGTTTCAGGAGGGATACTTTTCCTTCTTTCTGGGAGTTGCTGAGTGAGATCAAAAAATAGAGAGAGGGATGGTGTAAGGATGAGGCAATACTGGAACAGAATAGGAGAAGGGATCGAGGATTCAGGTCCATGAAGAAACCTTGCTCCTTACTTGGGTCAGATTGATGACTATGTGAACCCTAACTGGGGTGAGGGGGCTGCCTCGGGCCCAAAATGAATTGGTTTCTCTCTTTCCCTCACAGCTCACCATCATATTTAAGAACATGCAGGAATGCATTGATCAGAAGGTCTACCAAGCCGAGGTGGACAATCTTCCTGCAGCCTTTGAAGATGGTTCCATCAATGGAGGTGACCGACCTGGGGGCTCAAGTTTGTCCATTAAAACCACTAACCCTGGGAATCATGTGGAGATCCAAGCTGCCTATATTGGAACAACTATAGTCATTCGGCAGACAGCTGGCCAGCTCTCCTTCTCCATCAAAGTAGCAGAAGATGTGGCCAGGGCCTTCTCAGCTGAACAGGACCTGCAGCTGTGTGTTGGGGGGTGCCCCCCAAGTCAACAACTGTCTCGCTTGGAGCGCAGTCGTCGGGGAGCTATCACCCTAGATACTGCTAGACAGCTGTGCAAGGAAGGGCTTCCAGTTGAAGATGCTTACTTCCAGTCCTGTGTCTTTGATGTTTCAATCTCTGGTGACCCCAACTTTACTGCAGCAGCTCAAGCAGCTCTGGAGGATGCCCGTGCATTCCTGCCAGACTTAGAGAAGCTGCACCTCTTCCCCTCAGATGCAGGGCCTCCTCTCTCCCTGGCAACCTTCCCAGGCCCATTTCTTTCAGGGCTGTTTGTTCTGTGGTTTTGCATTCAGTAAGTAGACCAGTAATCTTCTGGTCAATTTGGAAATGACTGGGCACAAAGGTTGGCATCGAAGAACACAAAGAGCTGCTAAGAAAATGGTGGCGACTAAGAGACATGTAAAAAAACGACACATCCAGTCAGATGAGCTGGAGTCCAGGGTTGAAATGATCACAGAATAAGGATTCTGGGTGAGGTTTGTGCATTCCAGATCTCTGGAAGGACTCTTCACCAATTGTCTCAGTCCTATTTATTTTGGAGCTGATTGTTTCAATCCATCTATCCCTGAGATGGCTCTACAAGCTTGGAGGTTGTATGGATGCCTGATGATGTGTAAAGAATTTAAGTACTGATATTTTTAAAAGGCAAGAATTAAAAGAGAAAGACATGACCATTACCCATGAGAAACTCAAAAGAGGAAAAAATGATTAGAGATAAAAGTCTATTTGATGAATATATGTGAGGAAAGCATATTTGGCTTTCTTGGATCAGAAATGAAGAGGGCTCGAGCTGGGGGTTTAGCTCAGCAGCACAAGCGCCTGCCTGGCAAGTGCAAGGTCATGAGTTTGATTCCTGGTACCAAAAAAATAAAATAAATAAACCTTTAAAAAAATGAAGAGGGCATTGTTTGGGTCTTAGGTGAAGGGAACTATCTTTCAGAGAATGATACAGATAGGACAGAAGCTATTATCCCCACTCCTAACTACTCTGTTATTAAAGCCATGAATTCTCCACACTGTCCTCTGTTGCCTATGTTGACTCTCTTTATAGATGTAACAAAGACAATGTCCTTACCTCACTGAAAGAAGGCTCAGAAATTAGCAGCTCTTCTTCCTGTCCTGAGAGAGTTTGTTGGCTAGTAGAGACAAAACTGATTCACATAAAGGAATGGAGTGTGTAAGTTACTAAATTCTATGGTAAACTGGGTGCGGTGGTACATATCTATAATTCAAGCGCTCTGGGAGGCTGAGGCAGGAGGATCACAAGTTTAAAACTAAAATGAGCAATTTAGCAACTTAGTGAGATCCTGGCTCTGGGAAGCTGAGGCAGGAGGATCACAAGTTTAAAACCAAAATGAGCAATTTAGCAACTTAGTGAGATCTTGGCTCTGGGAGGCTGAGGCAGGAGGATCACAAGTTTAAAACCAAAATGAGCAATTTAGCAACTTAGTGAAATCCTGCCTCAAAATTGTAAAAAAAAAAATTGTGTTATTGGTTTTTGAGACATGGTCTTGCTTTTTAATGCAGGCTGGCCTTGAACTTACAATGTAGGAGAACATGCTGTATTCCTGCTTTGGTTTCTTGGTGCTAGGATTACACGTGTGAGCCACCACATCTAGCAAAAGAAAAAAAAAATTTTTTTTTGGTACCCAGGTCGAACTCGCAACCTTGTGATTGCCAGGCAGGTGCTTATGCCACTGAACTAAATCTCTGGTCCAAGAGAAAAACTGAGCTCAGTGCCAGGATCCTGAGTTCATCCTGAGTTCTATCCCAATACCAGAGAGAAAACAGTTGTACAGCACTGAGCATTTAGATGGAATGGCAGATGATGAGAACTAAAAAGTAAGGCCGGGCACAGTAAGACATGCCTGTAATCCCAGCCACTCAGGAAGCTGAGGCAGGAGAACAGCAAGCTGGAGATCACTCTCAATGATTTAGTGAGACCTTGTCTCAAAATAAAAGTTAAGAAAAGGACTAGAGATGTAGCTCAGTGGCAGGGTACTTGCCTAGCATGTGTGAAAGGCTGGGATTATTGTATAGCAGCATCAGGGAGAAAAAAGTAATTAGTGGTAGTAGAAAAGATTTGAAAGTCCTGGGCAGGATTTGAGTTGCTAAGGACCTTCCAGGCAACAGAAACCCTTGGTTTTAAGGATAAGTTCATGGTTCATCAGGGAAACCAGCAAAACTCAAATGCACACACAAGGAGTAATGGAAAAGAAGTTGAGATAGGCTGGGCATGGTGGTACATACCTGTAGTGCTAGCACTTGGGAGCAGAGGCAGGAGGATCAACTTGAACTCAAGGCCAACCTGAACTACATAATGAGACCCTGTCTCAAACAAATGAATGAGCAAACAAACAGAAAGTTAGATAGGCAGAGACCAGATTATGAAACACCTTGGAAGGGTGGTCAAGAACTTTAAATTTTATTAACAGTTAACATTTATTGGGAGCTTGAAATTATCAGACAGTAGGTGGGTTGGCTGGCACACGCCTGAAATACCAGCACTCAGGAGGCTGAGGCAGGAGAACTGCCATGGGTTTGAGGCCAGCTTTAGTTACATAGAGAGTTCAGGGCCAGTCTGAATTACATAGTAAGGTCTTATCTCAAAAATAAACAGACAAACAACAACAACAAGAAGTGTCAGGTAATCCCAGGTTCAACCCATGCATCAAACAAACACAAAAATTCATTCATTTAATACTCATCTCTCTAAGGAAGGCAGCATTTTTATCACTATTTTTATATAAGGAAAAATACAGGAGGTTTAAGAAACTTTCCCTTAAAGCAGGTAGGATTACATAAACCTGTAATGCCAAAATTCCAGGAGGCTGAGGCAGGAGGATTGCAAGTCTAAGCCCAAGCTGGGCATTTGGTGCTTTAGCAAGACCCTGTCTCAAAATAAAAAATATAAAGGTCTTGGGATGCTTCTCAATGTGAAAGCTTTAGTTCAATCTCCAGTACAAAAAGAAAAAGAAACATTCCCACCATCACACACACAGCTAATAAATAGAGCCAGAGAAAACATAGACAATTTGGATTCAGGAAATTAATTATTAAGCACTACGTTACACTGTCAAAGAGACACAAAGCAAGACAATATGTCACTTCTCATATGAAGCCAAAAAGTGAAAGCTGGGAAAGAGAAAAAAGCCTACAGGTGGAAGAATCCAGTTCGGAGAAAAACACTTTGGAGACCGCAGGATGTGGTTCAATGGCAGAGCACTCGCCTAACATGCACAGGGCCGTGGGTTTGACTCCCAGTACTAAAACAACCCCCATCCCAACCCCAAAAGGAGGAGAGAAGCTGTCCTAGCCCAGGGTGTTCTGAGTGACAGTGCCACTCCGAACAAAAGTATACAGGAGGTTAGTTTTGTATTTAGTATATTGCTCCTCCTTCTGGTCTTGGGTACTCCGTTACTGGGCCCTCCCTTCTCTGACCTAGTCACACACTGATTATTATCTTCCCGTTCTCATTCCCACCTAGCTGACAATCTCCCTGAACACACATAGCCACACTGGCCAGAGCTTACGGCGCAGGGTGTCCTACCTGACATTTCAGATTTCTTCTGTGATGCAGCATCCCGTTTACCCTCCTCCCATCTCCACTGAAGACCACAGGACTCTGCCATTTCCTTAAAGCACAGTACTGATGTTTTCTGAGATAACCTTTAACCTAGGAAAGAGTTTGTTCTAATGGGAGAAAATGAAAGGGAGAAGGCTAGACCTAGGGATGAACCTAAACTTACAGATAATATAACCTTCTGTTCTGTTTTTTCTTGCAGTAGGAATTGAACCCAACGCCTCCAACATGCTAGGAAAGAACTCTACCACTGACCTGTACCTTCAGTGAACTTCTCTCTCCACCTTTCTTAATTTTCTTCCACTACTGAGGATTGAATCCAAGGAACTCTGAACTACAGCCCTAGTACTTTTTATTTTATTTTGAGATGGTGTCCAAGAGACAGTGAGGGTGGGCTCAAACTTGTGATCCTCCTGCCTCAGCTTCCTGAATAGCTGGGTGACAGGCTTGGGTCATTGTGCCTGATGAACACAGGCATTTTTTTTTAAAGGACAACTCCTTGTACTGGAGCTCTTAATTCAAGAATAACTTTATTCTAGTCAGTTAAGAACTGTACAGTCAACTGGTGAATGATACTCACTTTTTATCATATAATATTCTTCCTTTGCTGAGACTTAGAGTTACCCCTATTACCAATGGAGTATTTTAAAATGAGTAGCTCATAGCTGGGCATGAGCGTACTCTGAAATCCAAGAACTCTGAGAACTGAGGCAGGAGGATTGCAAATCTGAGCCAGTGTAAGTAACTCTGAGATTTAGGGAGCTCCTGTCTCAAAAATTTTTTTAAACATTTTTTTAAATAGCTGGGGATGTAGCTAAGTACCAAGGCCTTAAATTCAATCTTTATAGCAGGAAAAATAAAAAAGGAGCTCAAAATAGTTGTATGAAAAGATACTCAAGAAAGACTAGAATATGGCAGAGCAGTAAGCAACATAGAAAACAGTCTCTCTAAGCGTCACCATACAGACACTGGAATGTAGCATCATGAGAAAGACAAGAAGGAAGGAAGTGGGGTTCCTGGACCCAGGAAGAATCTGAAGTGAGAATTAAAGCCCACAGAGAGAGTAAAAAGAAAAACCTCAATGAAGAAAAAGGCAGTAGCTGGCAGTACCTTCTCCCTGAGATGGGACTCATTCACAAGAGGAGCTCTTTGAATCTGAGGATGCACCATCATGGTGAGGTGACAGCTGTCAACCCCAGAGCCCTCTGCAGAGAAAAACAACAATAGAGGTGAGCAGCAGACTTGGAAGACTACAGTGGCTGGTGGTGAGTGCAGAGGACTTAGTCCTCCCACAGGGAAAGAGTGATTAGCTGGGAGCCATTTTGGACACAGGCCAGAAAAGCTCAGAACCCAGAACTGCTGCCAGCTTCCTCTAGCAGCTCCTGGCTGGGCACAGACCCGTGGAAATTGCTTGGATGGTAGCAAGCCCAGTGAGTCTGGTCTCAGGGCAGGCCTTATATGATCATCTACTACTCTACCATAAAGCAAGTGCTGGCTTTCTGGGACAGATTGTCATGATTCAGGACTCTTATCGCCACAGTTGTCTACTAGAGAACACAAGAATAGAATCCAAAAAGCTGTTAGAAAAAAAGAAACAAATCATCTTTAAGGAAAGCCCATCAGAATCACAGCTGATTTCTCAGCACAAACTCTCAAGTCAAGGAGAGTTTGAGTGGAGTACTCTGAGTTCTAAAGGAAAACAACTTTCAACCCAGATTGATGTGCCCCAAAAAAGTATCTTTCAAAGTTGACAGTCAGATCCCAGCCTTTTCTTGTGAGTCAGCACCATTTGTGGACTGTGGGGGAAAAGAACAAAAAGTCACCAACAAGCCCCCTCCCTGTGAATCAGTGCCATGTGTGGGCCACCACCACCAGGGGGCAGCCAGACCCCAGCCTTTTCCCATGAGTCAGCACCATTCACAGACTGCAGCAGAAGAGAAGAAGAAGAAACCATGAAGCAAGCCCTCCCGCGAGTCAGTGCCATGCATGGGGTGCTGAGGGGACAGACCCCAGCCCCTTCCAGCATGCAGGCTGAGAAACAAGAAGAGTCAGTCCCCACTTCACCCCCGCAATAAGCGACTAGCAGATCTGGAGAAACTCAGGCTATGATGATAGGTATTGAGGTAAAATGCAATTTGATGCTTGTGGTGTTCGGAATTTCACTGACTTTGCAAGTCTAGGGAAGGCGATCTGATCATCTACGCAGAGGATAAGGTACTCAGTGCGGCTTCTATGAGGTTTCCTTCTGAAGGTGGTAGCCATTGGTAATTCCCTGTTACCTTGTTTTGAAGTCCTATATTTCACTGTTTTTGTTTGGTTGGTTATTCTATTTTGTTATGTTTGATTTTGTTATATTCAATGGCATGCGCAGCTGTTTCAAAGAGAGCAAGATATATTATGGTAACATTTTAGATTTACTATTGCCTTGTTTTGAAGTCCTTTATTTTTTATTTTTTATTGGTACCGGGGATTGAACTCATGACCGCCTGCTTGCAAAGGCAGGTGCTTATGCCACTGAGCTAAATCCCCAGCCCCTGAAGTCCTTTATTGTGGGGCTGGAGATTTAGCTTAGCAGTGTAAGTGCCTGCCTGGTGTGTGCAAGGTCATGAGTTTGATCCCTGGTACAAAAAAAAAAAGTCCTTTATTGCATTCATTGTTTTGTTTTTAATTGGTTCAATTTTGTTCTGTTTTGTTTGATTTTTACTATGTCTGAAGGCAACTATTTTGAAGACAAAAGGCATTATGGTAACCATTGTTGATTTTGTATTGTTTTGAAGTCCTGTGTCACTTAAACTAATTTGTTTTGATTGGCTTTGTTCCATTTTATTTTGCTTGGTTTTACTCTCTTTAAACTAAAAAAAAAGGAAAAATAACAACACCTGAGGAGATTTATGACCACCAAAGCAGCACTAGAATATTCTGAAGGACCGTCTAGAAATAGATAATAACTCCATGAACCCCAACATAAGAAATCTACCAATTAGAGGATGAGAAAAAAGGGGAGAGTCAACAACACGAAAATAACATGACAACGATAAACCAGTACATGTCAGTTATAGCCATCACTGTTAATGGTCTCTATTCACCAGTCAAAAGACACAAGTTGGCAGAATGTATCAAGAAGCAAGATCCAATAATATGCTGCATACAAGAAACACACTTAATTCAAAAAGAAATTCATACACTGAAAGTCAAATGATGGAAAACAACACTCCATGTGATAGGAATCCAGAAAAAAAAAAGCAGGGGTAGCTATTCTGTTTGCACACAAAGTGAATTTCAAGGTAACACTGATTAAGAGAGATAAAGATGGTGGCTACATCCTCATAAAGGAGCAATCCAAGGGGAAGAGATAACAATTATAAATATATATGCAACAAATACCAATGCACCCAACTATATGAAACAATTACTAATAGATCTGAAAAATCAAGTAAGCCCTAATAAAATTGTATTGGGAGACCCGAATATCCCACTGTCACACAAAGACAGATCAACTAGACAAAAAAAGCAATAATGAACTACTAGAACTAAATCAAACTTTTGAGCAAATGGACCTAGTAGATGTCTATAGAGTGTTCCATCCCCACAACATCAAAATACACATTCTTCTCAACTACACATGAGACATTCTCCAAAACTGGCTCATAGAACATGCTTAAATAAATGCAAAGGAACTGAAATTGTCTCATGAATACTATCAGACCACAGTGCAATGAAATTGGAAACCCATGCCAAAGGAAACCACAAGAACTTCACAAACACCCGGAAATTCAATAGCACTCTACTGAACAACCAATGTGTCATAGATGAAATTAAAGAAGAAATTTTTACAGTTGAATAATAATGAAAATACAATGTACCAGAACTTGTGAGACACAATGAAAGCAGTCTTAAGAGGGAAATTTATAGCAGTAAATACTTATATCAGGAAAACAGAGCAAGTGCATCTAAACAACTTAATGTTGAACCTCAAACTTCTAGAAAAAAGAAGAACAGGCTAAACCAAAAGCTCAAGGGAGGAAATGATAAAGATCAGAGCAGAAATTAACACATTAGAGACTAAAAAAAAAAATACAAAGAATAAATGAAGAGTTGGTTCTTTGAAATATTAAATAAAATAGACAAACACTTAGCCAACCTTATCCAAAAAAAGGAGAGAAAGGACTCAAATCCATGCAGTTAGGAATGAAAAGGGCAAAATCACAATAGACCCTGCAAAAATCCAGAAAATCATCTATACCTACTTTGAAAACTTGTATTCTAATAAGATAGAAAATACAGAAGAAATGGACAGATTCCTAGAGACAAATGAATTACCAAAACTGAATCAAGAAGACATAAAAATCCCAAATAACCCAATATCAATAAAAAAAATCGAATATGTAATTAAAAACCTATCAACAGGGCCAAGGGTTTAACTCAGTGGCACAAGCACTTGCCTGGCAAGCGCAAGGTCATGAGTTCAATCCCTGTACCTCCTTCCACTCCTCCCAAAAAAACCTATCAACAAAGAAAAGCCTAGACATTGATGGATTCACTGCTGAATTCTTCAAGAAATTCAGTGAAGAACTAAGACCACTATCAGGTTCTGACCTAGATCCCCGATCTCCCAAGTGAGTATACGGCAAAGATTAAGTAAAATGAGACAAGTTGTATGATTTTGGGGGGCTCCAGGAGGGTCAAAACCCTTTAATTAAGCTCGAGACTCCGAGGGTTAAGACAAAAGCTTCTCCGGGTCAGTTCACTTATATTAGGACCAAGGACAAAAGGCGAGAAACTGGGGAAAGTGCAGGCAATGAGCAGGACCTTGGGAGTCACTTCAAGGACGTCTCCAAGTAATGAATCAAGTCAATTTAGTACCACTGTCTTATCATGAAGACATGGTAGAAGTGAGACTGTAGGAGTAATCTTTACAGCTGTAGTCTCTATCTTGTTAATTGGGGTTGGAGCCAAGTGTCCGCAGCTGTGGCCTTATCTTGCCCTTTGAGGTATCTCTGGCCTCACAGGCCACTACAGGCCTCAGCCAGGACCAGTGATTCATAGAGGTTCGCTTACTATGAATCAGCTCCCATCGACAGGCAAGGGGCTGAGGCCTAGGACAGACTCACAGATAAACATAGAAAGCCAGTTAGTAAAATTTAAATCCTGCTCAGAGCTGCTTCATAGTGGTCTCCAATAGACCACTACTTCTCAAACTGTTTAATGAAATTGAAAGGGAAGGATTACTCTCAAATTCATTCCTGGAAGCAGGCATTACTCTGATTCCAAAACCAGAGAAGGACTCAACTAAAAAAGAGAATTATAGACCAATCTCCTTAACGAACATTGATGCAAAAATCCTCAACAAAATACTGGCAAACAGACTCCAGCAAATCATCAAAACAATTGTATATCACAATCAAGTGAGATTCGTCCTAGGGATGCAGGGATAGTTCAATATAAATAAATCCATAAATATAATTCACCATATTAATAGAACCAAGCACAAAAACCATATAATCATCTCAATAGATGCAGAAAAAGCTTTTGACAAAGTCCAGCACCAGCACCCATTCATAATAAAAACCCTACAGAAAATTGGAGTAGATGGTCTTTATCCCAATCTGATAAAAGCTATCTATGACAAACCAACAGCCAACATCATACTAAATGAACAAAAACTGAAAGCTTTCATTCTAAAATCAGGAACAAGACAAAAGATGTCTGCTGTCTCCACTTTTATTCAATATAGTCCTGGGAGCTTTTTTTTATTTATTTAAACAGAGAAAAAAAAAAAGAAAGGACATAAAAAAAAAAACAATGCAGTAAAAGGGTACAAATAATACAGTATTTCTAGAAAAAAATATATACAGTACGAAATCACTAGTTAACAGGCTACACATTATCTTCCCAGAAACAGTTGTCCATATCACTAAATTAAAGCATATAAAGTGAACATTCATACAGTGGAATTGGAGACAGTTCTGTTCAATGATCAGTCCTGGGAGCTTTAGTTGGAGCAATTAGACAAGAGAAAAAATAAAAGGAATAAAAATAGGAAAGAAAGAAGTTAAGCTATCATTATTTGCAGATGACATGATACTTTACTTAGGAGATCCCAAAAATTCCACCAAAAGACTTCTAGAAAATTCATTAATGTAGCTGGATACAAAGTCAACACTCAGAAATCAATAGCCTTCTTGTACATGAATAACAAAGTCACTGAGAAAGAAATCAGGGAAACTATACCTCTTACAATAGCATCCAAAAAAATGAAATACCTAGGAATCCAACAAAGGATGTAAAAGACCTCTACATTGAAAACTACAGTACTGGGGCTGGGGATTTAGCTTAGCGGCATAAGTGCCTGGCCTTGCAAGTGTGTGGTCGTGAGTTCGATCCCTGGTACCGATAAAAAAGAAAAAGACCAAAAAAAAAAAAAAAAAAAAAATGAAAACTGCAGTACTCTGGGAAAAAAGATCGAAGAGAATATTAGAAAATGGGGAGATTGCTGGGCGTGGTGGCTCATCCTGTAATCCAGCATTTGGGAGGCTGAGTCAGGAGGATCGTTGTGAGTTCGAGACCAGCCTAGGCTACAAAGTGAGCTCAAGGTCAGCCTGAACTGCACAGTGAGACCCTGTCTCAAAAAGACAAAAAAAAAAAAAAAAATGGGGAGATATCCTGTGTTCTTGGAACATAGGAAGAACCAATATAGTGAAAATGGCCATATTTCCAATCCAATCAAAATTCCAATAGCTTATATCACAGAATTAGAGAAAACAATCCTAAAATTAATCTGAAACCAGAAGAGACCTAGAATAGCAAAGGCAATCTTGGGTCACAAAGACAAGACAGGGGTCATCACAATCCCTGACTTGAAATTTTACTATGAAGCTACTATAATTTAAAAAAAAACAGTATGGTACTAGCAAAAAAGAAAAAAGAAAAGAAAAAAAAAACAGACCCAAAGATCAATGGGACAGGTTAGAAGATGTAGAAATAACTGCAGACACACTTAGCCACCTTAATCTTTGACAAAGGTGCCAAATACCTTCACTGGAAAAAAGATACCCTGTTCAGTAAATGGTGCTGGAACAACTGGCTCTACACATGCCGAAGATTAAAACTAGGCCCATATCTTTCACCATGTACTAAGCTAAAATCAGAATGGATCAAAGATCTTAATATTTGGCTGTTTGGGAGACTAAATGACCACACTTCACAGTGAACTATACCACTCTGTATAGTTCATTACCATTTTGTGGCTAAATCACATAGGTTAAAAAAACTTAATATTAAAACAGAAACATTAAATCTGCTAGAAAATAGAGTACGTAAAACTCTTGAAGACATTGGTATAGGTAAAGACCACCAACAGAGTGAAGAGACAACCCACAGCATGGGAGAAAACGTTTGCCAGCTGTTCCTCAGACAAAGGATTACTATGGAAAACATATAAAGAACTCAAAAATAAATCAGTCCTCCCAGATTTAAAGACACAATCCAAAAATGGGAATCTGAGATAAATACTTCTCAAATGAAGAAATACGAACAGCAAATACGTATGTGAAAAAATGTTCAGCATCACTGGTTATTCAAGAGGTGCAAATTAAAACACCGAGATTTCATCTCACTCAGAAAGAATGGCTACTATCAAGAAATCAAGCAGTAACAAATGCTGGAGAGGCTGTGGAGGAAAAAGGAACCCTTCTCCACTGTTGGTGGGAATGCAGATTGGTGCAAACACTGAGGAAATCAGTGTGGAGAGTCCTCAAAAACTAAGATTGGAGGTTCCATTCAAGCCAGCTATTCCCCTTCTGTGTATTTTCCCAAAAGAATTAATAACATCATACCACATTGATATATGTGCACCCATGTTTATAGCAGAACAGTTTGTAGTAGCCCAATCTTGGAAACAACCTAAATGCCCATTGACTGAGGAATGGATAAAAAAGATGTGATATTTTTATACAATAGAGTACTACTCAGCATAAAGGATAAACTGGACACTTTTATAGGTATATGGATGTGGCTTGAGACTATAATTAAAACAAATAAGACACGTGTAAATGTAGTATTGTTTCATTATTTGTGACAAGCTGAAAGAAAATATATGCATATGGGTATGTATATTTATATGTATATAAAAATAGTTAAGATAGTTATACTACTGATTTCTCTGAGTTCACTAAAGAGAAGGATTTGTGCTGCTATTGTTTGGACAATTGAACTCAAATGTCTTGTGCTCTGGGTGAATGATTTGGGGATGACAATGTGCAATGTATGTACCATTGTTGGCCCCAGATTGATGTGTTTTGAAATTTTGTTGTTTTTTTCTTCTTTTTTCTTTTTTCTTTTTAACCTTGTAATAAAATGGATTAAAAAAAAAAAAGATACTCAAGATCATCAGCCATCGGCAAGGTGTGAAGGCACATACCTATAATCCCAGTACTTGGAAGGCTGAGGCAGGAGAGATACTGTGAGTTCAAGGCCTGCCTGGACTACACAGTGAGTTCAAGGCCTAGCTGAACTGCATAGCGAGACTCTGTCTCAGAAAAACAAACAAACAAAAAAAGAAGAGTCAGGCATGTTGGTACATTCTTGTAATCTCAGCACTTGGGAGGGTGAAGCACAAGAATTGTTTGCAAGTTCGAGACCAGCCTGGGCTACAAAGTGAGGCCAAAGCCAGCAAGCCTGAACTGCATAGTGATACCTTGTCTCAAAAAGACAAAAAAAAAAAAAAAAAAAGAAAGAAAGAAAAAGAAAACAAAAGGAAGGAGGAGGAGGAGAAGGAGAAAGATGAAAGAGGAAGAAAAAAATTTATCAGTCAAATTAAAACTTTAATGAGACAACACTGATAACTCAAAAATTAAAACTAAGAAGATTGGCAAAAACAAATGTTGGTGAAAATATGGTGAGAATATAAAATACTACGACCATTGTGTGAAACTATTTGGCAGATTTTTTTTAAGTAAATGTACATTTAGCATATAATCTAGACATTCCAATCTTAGGCATTGACTCAAAAGAAATAACATTGTGCCAGGGATTTAGCTTAGCGGCATAAGCGCCTGCCTGGCAAGCGTGAGGTCATGCATTTGATCCCCAGTACAAACAAACAAACAAAAAGTAGCTGCACAAAACTTGCACATGAATGTTCATACAAGTTTTATCTGTAAGACACTACTCTATTCATCTGTAAAACATACACTAATAAAAACAGTGAAAAAGTCTACAGCTATACCATCCTGAACGCACCCAGTCTCGTCTGATCTTGGAAGCTAAGCAGGGTAGGGCCTGGTTAGTACTTAGATGGGAGACCACCTGGGAATACCAGGTGCTGTAGGCTTTAAATAAATAAATAACAGTGAAAAATAAACCAATGAGGGCAACGTGGAATATACAAAAAAATTTTATCTGTAAAACCAAAAAAATAGAAACAACCCAGTGTCCATCAACAAGTGAAGGACACACCAATTGCAGAAAATCTGTAGAACAGAATATTACTTAACAATCAAATGAACTCCAAATACATACATCATGAGTGATAATAATGCAAGTTGAAAGAAATCATATAATAGTCTGTTTTCTATTACTGAAATGAAATATCTGAGGCTGCATACATATCTTTCTAAAGAAAAGAGGTTTAGCATAACTTCACTGAGAAAGAAGCTTTATTTAACTTAAGTTCGGGAGGCTCATTGGCACGGCACAAGCATGGCTAGAGCACAGCGCTCAAAGGAACACAGCATAGAAAGGAAGTCAGAGACAGATCCCAGGTTGGGCTTTCTCCTTGGGTAACTTGCTCTGGTACAAACTAACTCAGGGTCCCATGAAAATGACCCCCATGAAATGCTCCCCACAACTAAGCACCTTCCACTAGGCCTCACTCCTAAAAGCTCTGTCACCTCAACATTGCCATAGTAAGAACCAAGCCTCTAACATAGGAACTTTTCTTTTTTTCTTTTTCTTTTTTAGAGACAGGGTTTTGCTATGCAATTGAGGCTGGCCTTGACCTCACTACATAGCCCAGACTGGCCTTGAACTCATAGCGATCCTCATGAGTGCTGGGATTACATGCACATGCTATCATGCCCAACTCATGGAGTCTTAAGTTTTTTATTAGTACATGTTTGCGTGTATAATGTTTACTTTCATCTTAGGGAGTAGGCACATGCACTTAGCATTCTATGGTTTTATCCCCACCCCTCTAAGTCCCCTGCTCATTTGCAAATGATCTTGTCCCAGCTTCTTGTTGTCTATTATCAACATGCAACCTTTTGTGTGAGAACCACATTCAAATCCAGCAAAACCAAGCCAAACAAAAATGAAAACATACCATTTGTTTCTGTTTACATAACATCACAGAAAATGCAAACTGAGAGTGAAAGAAAGAGTATCAAGGGATGCTTGGAGATTGGCAGAGGGAGGAACTGGGCAAGAAGAAACTTTTTGGATTGACAGGCCTGGTCACTATTTCGATTGCAGCAATTATCTCAACCCATGTGTGTGTGTGTGTGTGTGTGTGTGTGTGTGTATACACATTTTTAAAAGTCTTTTTGAGACAAGATCTCACTCTGCAGTTCTGGCTGGCCTTAAGCTCACTTTGAAGCCCATGCTGGTCATGAACTCATAATTATCTTCCTGCCTCAGCCTCTGGAATGCTAGGATTACAGTCATGCGCCACCACATCCAGCTATATGCTTAAAATATAGGCAATTTATCATCTATTGAGTATACTGAAATAAAAATGTACATTTTTAATGAATAGGCAAACCAGCATGGCAGTGTACACCTATAATCCCAGCGCTCAAGAGGCTGAGACAGAAGAATTGCCGTGAGTACAAGGCCAGCCTGTACTACATAGCTATATAGTGAGTTCAAACTAGTCTGAACTACATAGTGAGACCCTACATAGTGTGTAAAAGCAAAACAAAGCAAACAAACCCAAAAAAGAGAAAAACATAGACAATCTAGGAGTAGTGATACATATCTCTAATTCCAGCTACTTGAGAGGCTGATGCAGAAGTATCTCAAACTCAAGGCCAGCCTTAGATGATTTAGTGAGACTAAAAATAAATAAATAAAAAGCTTGGGGATGTAACAGTGTGAAGTTTTGGGTTCAATGTCTAATATGGCAAAATCTATCTATCTATCATTTATCTATTATTTATCATCTATCACTATCATTTATTATCTGTCTAATCTTTTTTTTTTTTCTATCTTTTTTGAGATGGGGTTTCACTATGCAGATCAGGCTGGCTTTTAGCTCACTTTGTAGCCCAGGCTGGTCTCGAACTCACAACGATCCTCCTGCCTCAGCCTCCCGAGTGCTGGGATTACAGGTGTGAGCCACCACACCCAGCTATCATCTGTCTAATCTTTTAAAATAAGTAGCCTACCTTTCTGTCTTCAGAAGACTAAACCATTTTAGACTTTTGTCTGGTGGTCAGACAAAAGACTAAGGAAAGAAATATAAGAACATAGATTTTCTCTAGGGCAAAGTGAGAAGGCAAGGTGAGAGAAACAGATATTCAATTATTTTACATCTCTTCTGTACTTCTAAAACTAGGTCCACATTCCTTTCTTCACCATATAGTTCGTAGGGTTAGGGACCACCTCAAGGATGGCTATTTTCCATTTAAAGCCCAGTCTGACTTCCCAGTTCACAAATGGTCAGCAGGTGGCGCTGGTGACTAAAAAATTATTCAAAGAGATTGGGCCAAGTCTCCGGAAAATTAATTTCTTCAGATTACCTGATATGTTGAGCATTTAAGATAAAATATTAATAGACATTGACAGAATTTGACTTTAAGAAACAAAATGAAGATACATGCACAGTAAACTAAATTATTTAAATAAATTACTATAACTTCACAACAAATATACAAAATAATCAAAATGTACTACATGGCCTGACAGTGGGTGTTATTTACATGGTGAAAATAATGTAATGGTTGATGACTGATTTAGCTAAACTGTTATATAATTACTGAAGAAGAGATAAAAGGGAAGGGAACATTAGAGATACAGTTTGAGGTAAGAGCTGTAATTTTGAGCTGGGGTACTACCTCAACAGTAGAGCGCTGGCCTGGCATGAAAGAGATCCTGGATTTGGTCCCTGATTCTTCCCAACTTTTTTTCATAGAAGAGTTAAAAGTTCAGTTACTGGCCAGTTGTGGTGGCACATGTCCATAATCCCAACACTCAGAGAGGCTGAGGCAAGAGAATTGCTGTGAGTTGGAGGCCAGTTTGGGCTACATAATGAGTTT